GGGAGTGTCAGAGACAGTGCAATTGGCACAGGACAGAGCAGAGTTTAGGGCTGTTGTACATAGGGTCGCTATGAGTCACAAGTGACTCGACGGCACATAACAACAACAACATGACTTGTGTTGTAGGTTTCATAGATCCACAGATGGAGAGGAATCTTGCCGCAGAGTCTCATACCTTAACTCATTTGTTTTTATGTACCTTTGAGTTTAGACCAACGCACAACTGACCTTCCAGCAGATTTTTAGAGGCAGTAAATCACACAGGAGGAGACCGTCCATCTTTCTCTTGGGTAGTAGCTGGTGAATTCGAACCAACTGTCTTTGGGTTGGCAGTGTAACTTCTAACCACTAAGTCACCAGAGCTCCCTTAACTGAGTTAGATGATGAGAGATTTTAGACTTAGTAATAGGTAATGGAATGAGTTAAGGAACTTAAGGGTGCTGGGATGAGGTAAATTTATTTTGTATGTGGGAAGGACATGAATTTTTGGAGGGGGCAGAGAGTGGACTGTGAAAGAGTTGTGTCATCCAAAAAGGTTTGTTGTTGTTGTGTACCTTTAAGTCAGAACCAACCCATAGCTCACCCTCCAGCAGGTTTTCAGAGGCAACAAATGGTGGTTTCAAACCACGCACCTTTGAGAGTACCTAAACAGATATAATGTCCTAAGTTCTGGCCCTCTGAATATGACTTTGTTTAGAAACAAGATCTCTAAAACTATTAGCAGTTAGCATGTAGTCATATTGGGGAAAGTTGGGTTTGAGTCCAATATGAATGACTCAGAAGGCATGAAATATAAAGACAGAGGAAAGCTATGTAGAAATAAATCTACTTACCAAGGACCACTTAGGGGCTACTAGAAGCTGAGAAACTTCCTTTAGAAATAAATATCTATTCTTTTGGTATCTTGTTAAAACTGCCCTAGGAAACTAAATATACTTCTCTATATTCCTTCCTTTTTTCATTCTTGTCCATAACACTCATTACCACTTCCATGTAGTTTACTGTCTGCTTGCTCCTATTAAAACATCAGTTTCCACCACAACAAGACAAAGGTAAATAATCCAATTAGAAACTTCACCGAAGAAGACATTCAGATGGCTAACAAGCACATGAAGAAATGTTCAAAATCCCTAGCTCTAAGAGAGATGCAAATCAAAACATCTATGAG